TTCTATTACTGCCAATGAGCTTCCCCTTGTGCCTCAGGATATTAAAGGAGAGCGGACTTCATTTCGAAAGACCCATCCTCAAAATCTAGTAAAGATGTCCTGTTCTTAAATAAGAAAAAAAAATCTATTGATAGAAATCAAGTAACCTGTTTTCTTGAATGTGCTAACCCATAATTTATCAGTCTTTGCTGTACCATGTTGTGTGAACATGGCATTCAGTATTCAACAAACATTTAAGCAAGCTCTGGTCTAGTGCAGTATATGAGCCCAAGTGTTTTCTGGTTTCTATTTAAACTTCAAATTGTAATCTTCATTTCTGGTTTTTCCTCTTTTCCCATCAGATGTCCAAGTTGATCACCTGGCTTTATTGAAGCAGTTTGAACATCTGGACTCGCAAAACCAGCACACATTTGAAGCCCGAGATTTGGAGCTGCTAATTAAAGCCGTACGTTGGAACTTTTTAAAAATTTCTTTCAAATTATTAAATCTTTGAACCTGTTTTGCATACTCTGGCACCGCTTCACCTCTGTATATTGTACTAAAAGCCTAGGGCGTATTCTCTGTTACTTCTCTTCCTCTCCCTTACCCAGACTTCGCAGAACAGGAGGGGCTGGTGATGAGAACTGCTTAGAAAGATTTGGTGCTTGATTCAAAACAGATGCGGGATTGAGTTCTATCACTTTTCAGCTTAATCTGATGCTCAGTTATTGAGATTCTTGGGAGTGCCTGGTTAGGTCAGTGCTAAAATGGAAACCCCTGCCTTCCAAAATACAGAAACACACTATAGATAATCCATGCTACTTCCTCCTTTTCTATCCCAGGAGCTCTAATTGGAAGATTAAAACTGCTTTTTTTTTTTCCCATTTACCACACAAAACTACATGGGGAGCTTTTAATAAAATATTCTCCAGTTTGGTGCTGGCTGGAACAGACTGCCCTGGCCACTGGTATATATTTATTTTGAAGATAAGATTAATATTAATATCTCCATGTTGTACAGAAGGTAACAGATAAAGTGCAACAGGTTTACTGAAGATTATTCAGTGAGCTTATTCCTGAATAACCTGAATGCCAAAACTCAAAATGAGGGACTTCTTGACTCTTACTCCAGAGTTGCATTTTGTGAGATGGTCGGCCATATACGGATAGTCCTTGATGTTTTGGCAAAAAATGCCCATTTGAGAGGATTTAGAATTATGACCATGTGATTCACATAATGACTGTCATAACAACAATTGTAAAATTGGATCCAGTCACATAGTTGCGTTGATTTACAACCATCACAACTTAGGACCAAATTTCCAGTCCCTCCTCAAAAGCAAAGGACTGTGTGTAAATAAATACAATATTTTAGCCATCACAGTATAAGGGAAGCTGTTCTAATCTGGGCTTGGCAGGCCTGCTCAAGCAATGTTGGGGTCTCTAGCAAAGATTAGAGGCAAAGTGATGCAGTTATCCAGGATTATTTGCAAACTTATGGGATGGCGGGGGGTAAAAAGAAGGCGATTTCCTCCCAGGCCAATAATGTTGGCTCTTGCTTTTCTGTCTTTTTGTCTCAGGCTACCAAGGACCTGGAGAATTATGATGCCGCTCACCACGAGGAATTCAAACGCTATGAGATGATGAAGGAGCACGAGCGTCGGGAATATCTGAAGTCTCTAGATGAGGAGAAGCGTCGTGAGGAAGAAGCACATTTTGAAGAGCTCAAGAAGAAGCACAAGGAGCATCCCAAAGTCAATGTCCCTGTAAGAGAACCTCTCTTGGACTTCCAGGGGTTTGGGTAGGAATTGCTTATTTTGGATTGAGTTATCCCAAAGGTACTTTCCCAAAAGGCTTCTGGATCTTATCCTTTCCAAGAAAATCCAGTTATCTTTTGAAAAAGCACCTTTGGGACAGCCATAACCTGGATGTCCCAAAGGTGGTTTCCCCCCACCCCTCAAGAGGCAACTGGACTTTCTGGTTTCTCTTTGAAGACATTTCCCTTTTCATCCAACTAACTTCTTCAGCTCTGAAGAACTGAAGCAGCTTCTTGGTTGAGAAGCAAAACGTCTTCAAAGAAAAACCAAAGTCCAGTTGCCTCCTGAAAGGAAAATAAAAAAGCACCTTCAGGACAACCATGGCCCGGATGGCTAAGACTCTCCGTAGACATTTGGTTTGAGTTCCTCATTATGTCCTTGCAGGGCAGCCGTGATCAGCTCAAAGAGGTCTGGCAAGAGACGGATGGTTTGGACCCCAATGAATTTAACCCCAAGACGTTCTTCAAGCTTCATGGTAGGGAAGCCTTTATGTGTAGTTCTAAGTCAGCTTGTCAGGGTGTGTTGCAGCAGATCCTGTTTCCAAATCAGGACACAAGACCACGAAAGGTTGGAGAATACAGGTTTTTATTTGTGCACAAGGTTCAGAGCGTTAGAATGGCAAATCCTGAACCCCTGGCTCTTCCTGAGGCGTCACTTTTATACATTTCGTGACCTCAGCTTAGCCCGGGGCGTTTCTCTTATTAAACTATACCAAAAAAAAAGGAGAAGTACATTTAATTATTCATTTTATCTTACACCATCTGTTATTTTCCATATCCACCCTTGCTTACTGGAACATGGCTAGTTTCCTTGGTTCAGTAACTTTGTGGTTTTGCACAATATTGTATTAAGCAAAGCTTTGGAGAATTGGGGGACTTGTGCTGAATATAAAAGTGCTTTATGTGTAATTTTTCTACTGCTACAAGGGAATTGTGCGACTAGTATCCGAATGAAGTCAGACTCTGACATGTAGTTTTATATAAATAAATATATTTTACATCTACATAAACACCAAACAAGATAATCAGGTAAACGGGAGCATCATCAGGTGAATCAGAACATGTAAGGCGCTCACTCAGAAGAAGAAAGCAGGGAAAAAGAGGGGGGGGGGGAAACCTTCCACACCCAGAGCAACCAATCACAGTGCAGATTTAGCCAGCACTTTTCAACCATTCAACTATAACTCTGTTCTGGCTCACTGCACAACCCCGTTGCTCCAGCTGCTAAATTTAAATATCTTAATGCAACTGCTCACCTCCAGTATGGAGGAAGCCTCATTCAAATGTAGTGAAAGTAACTGATTAACAACCCTTTCTGTTATGTCCCAGTTCTTCTTTGTGGCCTCTGTGAGACATAAATGGCCTTAAACTCTGATTTCAGAGTATTGGTTACAAAAGGAGTAGCCAATTTACAGTCTGGATTTCTGACATAATAGGAAGATTTCCCTCCCCATTATATTTTCCTGGGAGGAGGTGGGATCTAAGCAGAGGTGGGCTGCTGGGGGTTCGCAGAAGTTCAGAAGAGCCTCTAGCTATGATTCTATGCATTTCGGAGAAGCCCCAAATCCCACTCCTGGCTGGCCCCACCCACTGCACCCCGCCCCTCCCAGGAGCCCCCACACGGCTCATTTTGGATAAATGCAGAGCGCGCACAGAGACTCGGGGAGGGTGAAAAACGGGCCTCCCGGAAGTTCAGAGAGCCTCCAGAACCCGGGGAGGGTGAAAACGCCCCTCCCCCACCATGGTGCAAGAGGCTGACTAGCCACACCCATCACAGCCAGGTCTACCCAGCAACAGGGCAGAGAACCCTTTGATAAAATTTTTGAAGCCCAACCCTGCATCTAATTAGAAAGAAATAGCAGTCTAAGCGTATACTTTACAGGTAGTCCTCGACTTACAACCTTTCTTTAGTGACTGTTGAAACTTAACAGTGGCACTGAAAAAAGCAACTTATGACCAATTTTCACACAATCATTGCATCATCCCCGTGGCCACATGATCAAAATTTGGATGCTTGGCAACTGGCTCATATTTCCTGATAGTTGCAATGTCCCGGGATCATGTGATCACCTTTTGGGGGAAGCCAGATTTGTTTTATAGCCGTGTTACTGACTTAACAAGTGCAGTGATTCACTTAACTGTGACAAGAACGGCTGTAAAATGGGGCCAAACTCAAGAAGGAGTCAAGCTATTCTCCAAAAAGCACCTGAGAGCAGGACAAGAAGCAATGGATGGAAACTAATCAGGGAGAGAAGAACTAAGGAGAAATGTATTGACAGTTAAAACAATTAATTTGCTTTCAGAAGTTGTGAATTTTCCAACACTGGAAGTTTTTAAGAAGAGATTGGACAACCATTTGTCTGAAATTGTACAGGGTTTCCTGCCTTAGCAGGGGGTTGGACTAGAAGACCTCCAAGGTCCCTTCCAACTCTATTATTCTATTCAACTGTCTCACTTAGCAGCCGGAATGTTGGGCTCCATTGTGCAACATGGCTGTACATGGCTCCTGAATTGAGATGTCAGAATTCTTAGCAATTCTGGCTTATACAGGTAGTCCATGACTTGGATCCATTCTTTTAACAACCATCTGAAATTATAATGGTGCTGAGGAATGTAGACATGTCCAGTCCTCCTTACAAGTGTTGCAGTATCCCAATGGTCATATGGTCAGAATTTGAGTGCTTGGCAACTGCCATGTATTATTCAACGGTTGCAGCATCCTGAGGTCATGTGATTACCACCTGTGACCTTGCCAGGAAACGTCCAACAAACAGAATCAATGGGGGAATCCAGTTTTGCATAATGAGTGTGATTTGCTCAACAACTGCAGTAAAAGTTGTAAAATTGGGTGCAACTCAGTGACTGCATTGTTTAGTGATGGATGTTCTGGTGTCAGTTGTGATTGTAAGTCGAGGACTACCTGTCTCTGAGTGTAGCTGGTAGCATACTTTGTTCTAGCCTATTGGGCCAGCTCAAACAAACTTCAGGCCCACTTGCAACAGCTTTCAAACAGGCATGTGGTTTTGGGTGAGAAAAGATCCGTTGTTCACATTTGATGTACTTCCCTTCCCTTCTTCCCTTTTTCTTTCCCCAGACACCAACGGTGATGGGGTGCTGGATGAGCAGGAATTGGAGGCACTTTTCACTAAGGAGGTACATTCTTGGTCTTCCTGATATGACAGTCCTGCAGTTCAGACAACACATGTGTGCTTTAGTGATCCTCCATTAAAAAAGAAAAGAAAAAAACATTCAGAGCAGTCTTGCAAGCTGGTCTACCAGCTCAGAGGTAGAATATATATTATGCCTACAGAAAGTGGCCGTTCAATCCGTGGACCTTTTTCCCTGGGGAGCGGGGGAGTGGAATTTAGGGAAATGCAATTTGGACATAGTAGGCAAGCACCAGCTAAAGGAGTCTTTACTTTTTGCAGCTGGAGAAGGTTTACGATCCTCGAAATGAGGAGGATGATATGTTGGAAATGGAGGAAGAACGGCTGCGCATGCGGGAACATGTTATGAAGAATGTAAGTATATGAACTGTGGGATGAAGATATGATGCCTTCTTTGTGTACAAGGCAGGAAAAGGAAAATGGGGCCACCTGGTTCCCAAGTCCCCTTTTTGGGGGGTCCATCATAAAGGTTGCAAGTTGAGAACTACTTGTATGAGATGAACAGTTGACAAGTTCTGGTTGTTTATTGAGGCACACGAGGAGGCCTCTGGGTTTTTTTTTCTTAGGAGTGACCCCAAAATCATAATGAGGCTTCTCATTCTTAGCCTATTTCAGATAGAAGAGTCCTCTTTGTGTTGTGGCAGTCAGCTTTTTCATAATTGGTCGGAGCCTTATAATGTGGGCTTCATAAAGGGCTTTCCTCAAACATGATAAGCCATAATGTGATTTTCTTTTGGCTTAGGATGTGGGAACCTGGTCATTGTGGCTATAAATATGTTTAGCTCAAGTGTAGAAAAACTTTTTCGGGTCAAGAGGGGTCATAGAAAAGTGGCCAGGATTTAGATAATATAGTATGAAGTGTGAACCCTTCTTAGTACAGTAATCCTTATGCTAGTCCATATCCCAAGTGTGAAGAGATGTTTGAGGGATTCTGTAGAAGAGCAATTGCAGGCTGTGATATAACATTCAATGTATAATCAAAGGGTAAGTATGCTAAGGGGAGAATTCTGGGAGTTGAAGTCCATTTTGAAGACTAAGATTTAGAAACACTGTTCCGAGGAGATCTAATTCTCTACCAGCTTAACAATTCTATCTATCTCTGTGCCTGTCTATCTTTCTTTCTAATTAAGTTTGTAGAGAATTAGATCTCTTGGAACAGTATTTCTAAATCTTAGCCACTTCAGGATGGATGGATGGATGGATGGATGGGTAGGTAGGTAGGTAGGTAGGTAGATAGATAGATAGATAGATAGATAGATAGATAGATAGATAGACAGATAGATAGATAGATAGATGATAGATAGATAGATAGATAGATAGATAGATAGATAGATAGATAATCAGTTCATAAGTAGAACAAGAGATTTCTTCCTCTCCCAAAATCTACTCTTGTCTGAAAAACTTGTCTTTCTTTTCTTGTTTCATTTTTGAGAGCTTGTAAAGAACATAAAAAGGCATCTTTTCTGCAAATGGCTGTTTTTCAAAGCTGTGCAGAAAGAGAAAACTGACCCTGCATACTGATAGGACTGGTGGAGACCAGTTATTAGGATTTTTTTTTTCTGAAAAATGCCTTGGTCGTCAAATGAATCATAGCTTATACTTTAACATTAACATAGGAGAGCTAATTTCCCCCCCTCCCCCAGTCTAGTCTAGTTCACTTCTTACTCAGGAAGAATAATTCTTTCACTTCTGTTACGTATTAACTGCAGCTGCTGTATGCTTTACCCTGAAACAAAATCTGGTTAATCATTAATGATGATGGTTATTAGAAACAAGTGAATTTTTAACTAATAGGGAATGTCTGGGTCAATTCCAGATTTTATTTTCCAGATTGATAACTTTATTAGTGTAGTGCTAACCAAAATAACAAAAGGTATGCAGAATGTAGTTCCCAATCTGCATCAAAGAAAGATATTTTAAAATCCGCAGTTTAGTCTGTAGAGATTCTCAGTCATCCAGGTCATGGTTGTCTCAAAGGTGCTTTTTTTCATGCGGCAACTGGGCTTCTTTGCTTTTTCTTTCAAGACGTTTCGCTTCTCATCCAAGAAGCTTCTTCAGCTCTGACTGGAAGGTGGGGAATTGAAAGATTTATATTCCTTGCAGACAGCTGGTTATTTGTATTCTTTTAGAGAATCATTGAGGCCACTTGGATGCTTGTCTGTGCCCTCAGGGTCACTTGAGTGGTGCAAATGAGTGTGGAGCCTTCTTGGATGCAGGATGAGAGCCCAGTTGTCTCCTGAAAAAGCACCTTTGGGGCAACCATGACTGGATGACTGAGAATCTCTACAGACTTTCAGCTGTACAATTTGGGATGAACACCCTTAGAATGGTGTGGGAGTAGGAATGGATTTCCAGAGAAAAATTGCAGGCTACAGGAACCAGGAGGACACAGATAAACCTCCAAGGGCTTCATTGACTCTCTAAAAGGATACAAATGATCAGCTGTCTGCAAGAAATATAAATCCCCACTATCGTGTCAGAGCTGAAGAAGCTTATTGGATGAAAAGCAAAACATCTTCAAAGAAAAAACAAAGTCCAGTTGCCTCCTGAAAAAGCACCTTTGGGACAATCCCCAGTTCAGTTCACATTCTGCTTCAGAAAAACTGTTCACAAATCCTATATACTGATAGATCAATATGTCTGGTTTTGTACAGTGAGCTAAAATATAAATCATGATTTTCAAACTGGAGTCTCTTTGACTCCTACAATGTAAGTGAAAGTTAATTATATCTTGGCATGATACATACTTAGCTGCCTCATACATACATGTTCAACTACTGTGAAAATAGGATAATAGGTAGGGTTTTGCTCAATCCAGCACGACTCTATTATACTTTCAATGTTGGATTTGTTTGGTTATAATTCTGGGTGTAACATAACTCTGTGTTTAGTTTTGGCTACTAGTCTGTGTAAAAAGAAAACATACATTCTAAATTCTGCCATAGCCCTTGGTTATGGTTAATAAAACACCCTTGATCCAGGCTTTGAGAAAGTCTCCTGCAGCTGAATTATAACCTAAACAAATAGGGAAATGGAATGATTTATTTTTTGAGACTTCTCAAAATCTATTACTTGGTAGGGAAAATACAAAAGGAAAGAAGCAATTGCATTTTCTTTTCTCCACTTGTTCTCCTCCTGCAGGTGGATCTTAATAAGGATCGGTTGGTGACCCTGGATGAGTTTGTTAAATCCACTCAGAGGAAGGAATTTAATGAAGCTGATGGATGGGAGGTGTGTGAAACAATGCTATCAATTCAAGTGGAATTTCAAATGTTGGACTGAAGGGCTGAGAAAACACTAAGATTCCCCCCCCAAGCCTACCAATCTTTTGGACTCCCATATTCCCTGATCAGTATAGCCTTAGAGAAGTGAGTTGAATTCCAGCATACTGGAAGAACTCTAGGTTGAGACAGATTGTGATAAACTTTCCTTCCTCTGCAACCAGAGATTGTCCTCTGAAAACTTATTAGAGAAGCTCATCTCTGGTTCACTTCTGTGGTTTAAATTCTGTAGTCTGGCTGGCGAATTCTGGGAGGTTGAAGTCTATCCATCTTAAAGCTGCTGAGATTTGAGAAACATTTTTCTAGGCTCTTAAACATTCTTACATCCAAAAATTTAAAAAGCACCAAGCCCACTAATTCAGGAGGTAGCTTTCGGTGGCTACTAGTCTTAATAGCTCTGGTTGTAGCAACAAAGGCCAGAGGCCTCTGAATATCAATTGATAAAGAAGATGGACAAGAGTATGCTGTCTTGGCTGGATCCTGCTTTATGTATCACTTCAAGGTAATCTAGATAAGAAACCCAAACCACAGGTCCTAACACTACTATTATTGTAAGGTTACAGTAACAGAGTTTTGTGAGAGTACTCCATCCTTGCCTTCACTTTCCAGAGAACTAAGGAAGGTCCCTTCTGAGATGCCTTCTCCATCCAGTCCTTCAGTGGGCTGAGATATCTCTTATCTAACCATTGTCTAGGCTGCAGCTCCTCTTCCTTCATCTGCACATCCCCTATCACAATTTAAACTTCCCATTGTTGATTGGGGTGCTGGATTAGATGGATAATCCAGGAAGGCTCTCCTTATAATCTTATGGCAGAGAAATCACTTGTTTTATCAGGCCTGATAACCCCAACAGAATATTTCCAGGAGAACGAACATCTAAATATGAATGTGGGTAAGAGCAAATTCATTCTAGATATGCTTGATTGTACTGCTGAGCCGAGTTAAAAAGCGGCTCAGCAATTTGCAGTGTTTCAGACATGCATCAGTCTCAACCATCATGGCTAAGGGAAAAAAGTTACAGATATGAATTATTCCAAAATTAATGCAGCAAAACAGGTTGCTGTCCAGCATGGGAATTGCATTATCTGGAGAGGATACTTTTTAAAGAACTGCATTGAGAGTCATAATATCCTAGTTTCCCCCTACTGAGAAATATTTATATATCATACTATGTGGCTCTAGATGGCTCACAGATTTGGTATTCTTGTACTTCTTAAGGCAGTGGTTTTTCTCTCTCTCACTTCCCTGCCCATCTAGACAGTAGAAGAAACGCAGATCTACTCAGAGGCAGAGCTCCAGAGATTTGAGGCAGAGCTTAAGGCCCAGGAGGAGGAGTTAAGCCGACGAGCGGAGCAGCTTCATCAGGAGCACAAAGAGCTCCAGCAGCGGCAGGTGGAACTTGATGCACAGAAGAAGGAGTACCAACAGGTAGAGAATATTTTAATTGGAAGGATACACATTGTAGCATGGAAGTCGGAACACTATGCTTTCTTTTGATAAGGGGAAACAGAAGTCCCATGTAATGCTGACATATACCAATATGGGATCCTGTGATTTATAGATATTGTTGAACTATACAACAGTATTTCTCAGCCTTGGCAACTTTAAGGTGTGTGGAGTTCAGCTCCCAGAATTCCCCAGGCAGGAATTCTGGGAGTTGAAGTCTACACATCTTAAAGTTGGTAAGGTTGAGAAACGCTGCTCTGTAGTATGTTTAGTAGTAAGGAACGATGGGAGCTGTAGTTCAGTAACATACGAAGGACCACAGATTTCCTTAGGATCTTTTTTTAGGGGGTTGTTTCTTGGCTGTGAATTTCAAATTAAAACAAATACCTAAGCAAATATCTTCAAATTGTAAAAGTCCCTGAACTCAACCCTACGTACTCAACGTATTAAGCATTTGCAAATACTAATTTACAAGTTATCTTAAATCGGCCTTTGTATTTTTAGATGGAAACTAGGAAGCAACTGACCACCAAAAAATGCTAACCTCTGCTTTATTAACCATGTCTCATTGCAAGCACAAAATTAAATCCATGTTATCAAAAATGAATGATTGGCATTTGATATTATTATAGGTCAGCATTTATTATACTTCTATGTACTATAAGGGTTGTTTGAAGCCCTCCCCCCTTTAAGTAGACAGACCCTTGTATTCTATCCCTAGCACTGCTCGAATAAAAGTGGCCCAAACAGATCTTATGCTTTCCATTCATAAATTGGATCATGGAAAATTTTCCCCGAAGTGTCTTACTGTAACATGCTAGATGTCCAGTGGGGCCTTCAATTCTGGATCTTTGTTTGCTGCAATCTGGGGTCAACATTCAGAAATAGAGATGGTCAACCTCTGAGTTGCAGGTAACCTTCTGGCACTTCTTTCATGTATCCCAGGGAATCTTCAGTAGGAAAAGCCAAAAGTTTAGTCTGCTAAAAAGCCAAAGGATTGCTTTGTATCTTATGGTATTCTTTCCACATTCCCATCTCTTCCAGGTTGTGCTTCAGATGGAACAGAGAAAATCTCAACAACTTGAGCAAGCACAGCAGGCTGGTCCTGGGGGAGAATTGAAGTTCCAGGCTCAGCCACCTCATGCAGCACCAGCAGGTAAGAGCCGGAAAGCTAAGATTTTGGGGTAAGAGAGGGCAATTTAGGCCCATTTGAGAGAGGAGAGATTGAAAGACCAGAATTCTGAGTTTCTTTAAAAGGGTTATGAGAACATGGCTTTCTAAAGCTGTTTCATTGTAAGGTAGAAATGGAGTTCTTTGTTGCAAGAACTCTTGTCTTCACCTTATGGAGTTGGGTAAATTTTGGAGTGGTTTGATTGCTAGTACTCATGTAAGTAAATTGTATTTATGTATTTGTAATTCAACTCAGTACGGACATAAAATAAAACAGTTGATGAGGTGTTGGGTCCTTGGTGCCCTCTGAGCTTGATTATTTTCTTGAAGATGTTTCATTGCCAAACTAGGTAACATTCTCAGTGCTAACAGCGAATGGGGTCTGCTCACATTTTATATATTAGTGGCTTCACTTGGTCAGTGTTGGTGGGAGTAGTCTAGATCAGGGGTCCCAACCACCGGGCCCCGGACCGGTACCGGTCCGTGGAACATTTTCTACCGGGCCACCGGTTTGCTGGGCACCGCCATCTTGTTTTGATGAGAAAGTGCTTCCGGTGAGCTTTTCCTGTTGGAAAGCGGCGTTTGGGTCCTGAAGGAATCCTCGCACCTTAGTTTCATCGAAGAGGGGGGGTGGCTTCGAACAAAACCAAGGCGCGAGGATTCTTTCAGCACCCAAGGCAAGGCGAGCCAAGCAACCGTCCCGAAGCCATCCCGAAGCCCATCGACAAAGATACAAAGGAGGAGTTGAAGGTGGTGGGGAGAAGCGGGGGACGGCTGGCTGGCCGGTCACTCGGCTCGCCTTGCCATGCGTGCTGATGCCAGTACCGGGTCGCGGATCATTTTGTGATGCCGGTACCGGGCCGTGGCACAAAAAAGGTTGGGGGCCACTGGTCTAGATAGTTCCTTGATTGGGCTGTATTTTACTGCTAGCCTGTTTGGTGATGCCTCAAGACCACGTAATACAAATAATGCTTGATGTTCTTATTTAGCCCTAAAGTTGTACTTCCCTTGTTACATATGGAGGTTAACACTAGGCTTCATTCAAAGATTGTTAGGATGCCTGTGTAAACCTTGAAGGCCAAAGAACCCTTTAACTTTCACTGTTGGCCAAGTGAAACTGTAGAAAACCAGGGCAAAGGGAAAATAGGATAAGGGTATCCTGAAAAGTGTTGTTCTGTCCCATTCCATTTCCTATCTTACTGCAGATAATTTAGCTGGATCTGCCCTCAATCTCCTCAGGTATTTAGGCCCTTGACCTGGGTAAGATTGTCCTGCAGGTTGGGGTGACTATAGTCCAAAATGTCTGGAGAGATCGTGGTTTAGTAAAAACTAGGGCGTCATTTTTTTTGAATGTAAGAATCAGAATTCTAACATAGGTTCATCCAGTGCTGGGATAAGGTGGAAGCAAGCTGGTTCTCTCATCAGTTGATACAAGTATTTTTCTTCATAAAAATAATGCTTTCCCACCCATCAGCGCTCTTCTGTAAAAGTATCCTTACTCTTCTCTTCTGGGGGACATTAGGTGTGTACTGTTTTAGCTTCAACTAAGCAGGTCCTCTGGTACAATGAAGAGCTGGAAGCTTAATATTTGCAGCAATAAGTTGCCCTTCCCTCCTTTTCCTAAAGAAGAGGTAATTAAAAGTTTGCTAGCGGGTGTTTATGTTCAAAAGAGTTTTTGCCATCGCTGCTACCATTTATACTCTTATTATGCTTTAATTATATCCCATTTGTCTGATAAGATGTTCAGTAAAGGTTCACACCTATTTTTTACTCTTCCAAAAATCCTGATAGTTTATACTGGTTAAGATAAAGAAGTTAGCTAATAATACCCAATGACTATGGGATGGCTGGTTGCACATCATCCCACAGGGTGGCAGTGCAGGCTCCAGTAAACCAAATTTATAAATCCATAGAAAGGATATGAACTCAAATGGGGAATCTGTGGCGCTACAGTTATTGTTGGGCTACAGCTTCCTGCAATATTGGCAATCACTGTTGTGGCTGTTGAACATTATAGTAATCAACATCTGAAAACTCATTCGTTTCCTGACCCTTGCTAAGTTCAGGATGCAAACACCAGACCACCTTCATTAAATCTAGCCTCTGTGAAGAAACTTCTAGAGAATGTGTCCCTCAGGAGTTGGTTTCATTCCCAAACCTGTGGGTGGGTAGGTATTTGGAGGAGCAAGGTTCTTCAGATGAATCGCAGCAGTGGATGTAACACCGATCTCTTTTCTCCAGATCATGCTTCTCCTCCTGAGTCACAGCCAGGACCGCCTGGAGCACCAGAGCATGATTCTCAGAAAGATCAAACAGAAGCTCTTCAGAACCAAGCACACCCAGAGGTTGCTGTCCAATAGAACGCACCTGTGGCGTGCACCGAGGGGGTCCTGCATATTCTCCTTTTCTCATTGTCAGGGCATCTAAATCAAACTTCACCCCAGGACTGTGGAGGAGGGACCATGCAAGGTAATGTTTACAAGAGGAGAATGCTTACTAATTGTCCTCTGCAAACAGTCCTCCATTTATTCCAAGCAAGCAAACATTTGGCGATGACTTTCTTGGGAATACCTTGGCAAAGGGAAGCAATTAAGGGAGGGAATGGAGATGGGTTTGCTGTTCAAAAGGTTGGGACAGGCAAAAGAGAAAGGAAGCAAGTGTCAGACATCCTGACATTCTCCGGTAATTTTATCCCACAGTTTCAGAAATGCTTATGGGTAAATAAAAAGGAAGATAAGGGAATGAGTATAATGCCTCTGAACTAGAGTATTGTGCTTTGCTCTCTTTCCTCCTTATCCACAATTGGTTCCCAGAAATACAATGTTTTACCTGTTTGCAAAATACATGTTGAGAGTTGCTGGGTTTTGTTTTAAAACAACTTTGTTCCCTTTTTATTTAATAAATTGAACCCCTTGAAGTCTTTTCTGTGTTTTTTCACCGATGCACCATCTTCCCTTTGCATGTGACACAGTTTCAGATCTGTATACTTGGCAGGGTTTTTTTTGCAGTTGTGTCACTGAGGCACTTCCCAGATGAAAGAATTAGCTGGTAACATCACCATTGCCCTGGGGACTCCTTGGCGACTCCTTTCATGTCCCCGGCAGGACCTGGAGCGAAGGACAAAAGCTCAACCCTGCCCTATGGCAGCTCTCGAGTCTCGAACACGGCTTACTAACCTCCTGGCCAGCATTCCAACCACTCGAGCTACTACGCTCCTTACTTACCAGTATGTCTTATCGAGTATGTAAAATGACTTCACCGTGTGAGAAAGAGCATTTTGGGTGAACGGTCATTGACATTTCTTTTTGCCACAACTTCATTTAGTCTGGAAGGCAAAAATAAAAAGAGCCCATTTCTTCCTATCTTGGCTTCCTTAATACTTTGCCTTGACCTACAACTACAGTTGGGTCTGGAATGGTGCAGTCAAGTGAGTTGCACCTTTTTGCTGATTTCATAAGCGAATCACCACGGTCGTTAAACGAATCCAGCTTTCCCCATTGACTTTTTTTGTTGTTGGAGGCCTCAGGGAAGGTCATAAATGGCGATCATAGAACCCTAGGACGCTGCAACTATTGTAAATACATGCCAATTACCAAGTACCCAAATTTTGATGTCGCCACAGGGACACTGCAGTGGTTGTAAATGTAGGACTTGTGGGTAGGATAGGTGTTGGTTGAAAGCCACTTATTTGGGTGAGTACTGGGAATTGAAGTCCACCCATCTTCAAGTGGCCACGGTTAAGATACACTATTCTAGCCCATATTCCCTAGGAGGTTTCCTGTTGAAGTACTAACCAGGGATAGTTGGGCTTTGCTTCTATATAAGGGCCACATTTTGCTACCTGCTAAGATCCCTAGAGGAGGTGCAGTATTCCATAATCACCTATAGGGTCTGGAAAAAAAGTGCCAGTAGCTGACCAACAATCTCATCCTGTCATTGGATGGAGTTTGAATCAGCTGTGAATCACAGGAGCCTGTGATACTCACAGGATAATCACAGGAGCCTGTGAATCACAGGAGCCTGTGATATGAATAAGTCCTTTTCACAGGCAGCTCCTCCCAAAGGAAGGGAGATGAATGTCGTGGGAGTAACCAAGAGCAATGCACTCCTTTCCCGAGTTATACAGGGAGTGCAGCATTCCCAGGACACCTACATCATTCAAATGCCCTAAAAAGCTTGTACATGCTTGCTTTAAATATGGTCATGACCCCTCGAGTTTTGAATTAGTCTCCCATCTGTAGATTGTACAAACAGCCACTAGGTGGTGGTAGGAAAGAGGTAAAGGAAAAGGAGCTTTTTGCTGCCATCTAACTGTTGTGCTGATTTGTGCAGCCCAGATATACTAGGCCTAGCTTTTGACACATGGAAAAGTACAGAAATTATCCAGGAGAATAATTAGGCAATGTGTGAGATAGAAATTAAAAATCCTACATGCTTTGCTGTGTTGATTGGACTTTGAACCTGTGGAATGTCTTCAAGATTAGTAGGAGGAGATTCACCTCTGATCCTGGAACTTTATTGATTCCAGTTATTCCACTGGGGCTTTTAAGCGGTATAAGCCATGGCAAATTTTAAATACAGTCATATCTCGGCACTCGACTGCTTCAAAACTTGTTGAATTCAGTATTCATTTTGGAGCAGAAATCTTGTCCTGATACTCTTGTTTTTCCCAGTAGTTGACACCCAAGAAAGAACTTGCTGACATTGGCTCCTCTTAACTAAGATACTACCAGTACTGATAGGTGCCTTAACTGCAATCCCAAAACATTCGGAGCAACATTGGGAGCACCATCAGCATTGACAAAATCGCCATCAGTCAATCATAAAAGGCAGCTTCAAGTTACAATGGCATTGAAAAAAGTGACATAATTTTTCACATTTACAATTATAGCGTTCCTGTGGTTTGTGATCAAAATTTAGATGCTTGGCAACTGGATGTATTTATGATAGTTGTGATGTCCCAGGGTCATGTGATCACCTTTTGCGACCTTCTGACAACCAAAGTCAATGGGGGAAACCAGAGTCACTTAACAACTGAGTTACTAACTTAATAACTGCAGTGATTCCCTTAACAGTGGTGGCAAGAAAGGTTGTAAAATAGAGAAAAATTCATTTAACTCTCACTTAGCAACATATGTTGGGCTCAATTGTGGTCATAAGTTGAGGACTGCCTGTATCTTTACTACTATCACATAACAACATCTGCCTGTCCCAGAACTTTGTGAAGGACTCAAAAGTATACAAATTGCCAAATCTAATCTAAACAACTGGCTGATTGTGACCAACTTCGTTAATAATAATATAAATATATTATTTAAATGAACATCAAGGTATTTCCACAATCCTTCCCAAAGAACAATTGGTCGCAATGATCCCAGATATTGACAGAATCTTACTTAACCTCCTGGGAGGTGGTTGTCTCTTCCTCCTTTCTCTACACCATCTTCCCATAGGGCAGCTGATGTTATTTCAAACTTAGTAATCACATTATGTCACATTGCCTGCAAAACATTTGCTTAATTGAAATACCTTACAATAGACATTCCAACAATCTAGTCATGCTACCCCTAATTAAGGAAGCACAACTTATCCGTGCCAAAACTCATTGTGTTTACCAATGTGTAATTGCGGAGACAATTACATCGGCAGAACCTTTTATTTCAAATAAAGGAGCATCTTCTGAAATGGGTCCAAACAACCTTGAGTAATCCAACAACAATACGAAATCAAGCCATAAAATGCCTTCTTTGGCCATTGCGAGACACTTACGGTCTACGGGTCATCAGGTGGATCAAAACTCTGCGTTTAAAGTTCTACTGTGCCACTGGAACTCTCGTTTCCTGCAGTTTGCTGAGGTGGTTGCCATTAACCGTTTGAAGCCCCCCTTGTGTGTGCAGAAATGGCTTTATGTCAATATATGCTTCCCATGGGCATAAGGCTTGCCATTGGTTGCTTTCCTGCATACGTTGGGAGGCTTAATTATTGCTCTTGCTAGATCTTATATTTGATCTTATATTTTAACCATGTTATTGTAATATAGGTACTGATGAGTCAATACAAAATGCATCTACCTCTGTTCATCTTTTGGCTGTATTGTTTAAATAATTAAAGGTAAAGGTTCCCCTCGCACATATGTGCTAGTCGTTTCCGACTCTAGGGAGTGGTGCTCATCTCCGTTACAAAGCCGAAGGGCCAGAACTGTCCAAAGACATCTCCGTGGTCATGTGGCCGGCATGACTAAACACCGAAGGCGCACGGAACGCTGTTACCTTCCCACCAAAATGGTCCCTATTTTTCTACTTGCATTTTTACATGCTTTTGAACTGCTAGGTTGGCAGAAGCTGGGTCAAGTAACAGGAGCTCACTCCGTTACACGGTGCTAGGGACTCGAACTGCCGACCTTTCTGATCAACAAGCTCAGTGTCTTAGCCACTGAGCCACTGCATCCCTCTGTCATTATATAAATTATTAAAAGGGACCAATTGTTTTAAACCCGGTCAAAGTTGACAACACTCGCTAAAGAAGCTCAACCACATCTATAAAGAAATTTGAGAGGGCTGTAATGAGCCATAGGAAGCTTATGTTTCAAACTGTAATTATTGATGTATTATTTCCCATATTTTCACTTCAATGATCTGAACTGCAGAAGCCTTACAGTTGGTCACTCACTGAATCAGACTCATTATCTTCCTGGACTTCCACAAAACAAAACTTGGTCCATGCAAGTAGACGTGTGCATGTGTACACACAAATATTCCTGCCCTTCTAAGGTACAGTATATTGGAAACCAGAGATGATACACCTCCACACGGAACCTACTAATGACCTAAGAAGTGTATTATTCTCTTTGTGGTCACAACCTATTCAACAACTACTAGTAAGTCAGTGACAATTATTAGAACGTAGGTCATGATATTTTTTCCCCTCATGATTTCTCAGAGGCTTAAGTTATTCAGAGCAAGGAAGAAATGGAGCCGCTTAACTCTTAAAAATGTAGAATCAACACCCTTTTGAACCCCTATTCCACAGATTCTTTAACAAGAGTTTAAATCAGTGATTGAGGTTTTGTCGCAACTGCATCCATTTGGATTGGGTTTACTGTATATATAATTTCCACGAAGCAAGTAAATATTAGCCCCAAGAATGAATTAACAGAATGTACATAATGTGGATGCCTGTTGGTTCTCTGTGATGGTATGCAGTGTTGTATAAGAAATTTAAATCAGGAAAATAAATTAGGTGCTGGATGAAGAAGGATTCCTTCAAGAAAGAAAAATCTCTCATCAAATATGTGGGCTAACGAGAGGCGTGTATGAATATATTGTGCCAGATCACATCAACCCTTGTCTTGATAAGGTTTCACACAGTGAGGGGAAAGTACAATGACTTCCAGTCCTACCTTAGGCATAAAAGCCAGATGGGCGACTTTGGATCAGTCACTCAGCCAAACCCACCTCATAGAGTTGTGGGGAAAATAGGAGAAGACAGGAGTATGTTTGCCATCTTGAATTATTTATAAAAACAATAAAGATAAGACAAAAAAATCTTATAATGTTGCTTAGAAGTTACATGTTGTAATGACGAGGCAGTCGAGTTGTTTGATCATGAACAACTGAATCATGATGATCTTTATTGGAGTCTAGTCTTGCATTTATACACATTTTTAGTTATCCTCCATCACTGGTTAACTTTGGTTACTGCTTAACTTTCGTTACTGTTAAGCACAGTAATCCATACAATTAATTATCTCTAGTTAAAGTCTAACATATGTTTACTTCCTCTCTCTAATCCTCCTTTAGATTAGTGACTTTGTTTACCTGAGTTGTATTTGCTTGGAAACATTCTTTATCTGAGGTTTGCCATCCGAGATTGGAACATTCCTGCAATTACAACTCTACATATCCTCGTTTTTTATTTTAA